CCACCAGGGGGCGGGTCTGGCTGGCATGTGGTGCTGGGGATTGAACCGCGGTCCCTGTGCTTTGCCAAGTTTGTTTCAAGTAGGTGCTTTAGACCACTGAGCCATCTCTCCAGTCCCTGTGTGTGTGTTTTTGAGACAAGGTCTCATGCAGTTCAGGCTGGTCTGGAACTCCAAGGATCATCCTGCCTCAGCCTCCTGAGTGCTGGGATTGCAGGTACCAGGCCCAGCTGGACTATTGTCTTTTAACACTGAACTCAGATGTCTTTATGCCTGAAGCCGCCTACACAGTGAGAACAGAATCATTCTGCTCTGTACCTTTTTTGTAGTTGGCCACATTAGATGGGAGCTCCTGGGGGGGGGGGGGCTCTTCATTTGCATTTGTACTCCTAGTGCCCTGATCTAGCAATTTCAACTCCCTTTAGTAGACAGGACAAGTGTAGGTGTTTACCTGTAGCTTTCTGTGGCTGGGGCGCTCAAGCTTAGGCCATTCCTTAGGCATCTAAGGAATGTGTTCTAGATTTCATATAATTGCTGTAATAGATGACAAAGAGTAACGCATCCTAATAAAGATGAAGCCTACCTAGGTCGTCTGTTGTAGGCTATAACTGGTATAGTAAGTAACACACTGTCTAACCTTTTTTGTGCATACAGATAACAAGTTGCTGGAAAAGTCGGATCTTCATTCAGTGTTGGCCCAGAAACTACAAGCTGAAAAGCATGATACACCAAACCGGCATGAGATAAGGTATTTTGAAACTAACCTTAAATTATTAGCACTATTTTTTAAACTAAACTTGTATTTGAAATTTGTCTCAGTTCACTTGTCACTTCTCCAAAAGTAAAGTAAGTAACTTAAATTGTTCAAAAGATATATACAGATCTGGAAGGCCGAACAGTGCATGCTCTCAGCTTGAGAAATTTCTTAAGGTGATTCATGTGGTAGACCTGGGTCAAGTTGTCTTCTCACCCACCAAGCTGCGCATCTGGAGTAACCAGAGACAAGTGTTCTGAGTAGATTTACAGAGCTCTTGGTAATACAGAATTGACCCACAAAAGCAAACTGGTTTTTGTCCACTGTGGTTCTTTTTTTTTTTTTTAATGTATTTGTTGTGGGATCTACAGGATCTCACTCCGTAGATTGGAGTTGCAGTGATTCTCTTGTTTTCAGCCTCCCAAGTGCTGAGATCACAGGCACACACCACCATGCCCAGTCAGCGTGGGCCGGGGCCCAGGCCCTGCCACTGTGGTTCTAATTGATCCTTTATAACCTGGTGTTTTTCAGCATTAGCTTATGAAATCAAATCCACAGGTTGCAGCAAGAGTTTGTTTCTTTTATGAATAGTTTAGAAAAGTACATGAAGTCTTGTTGCATTAAATAGATGTATGTTCATGTGGCTGCTTGTTTACTGGATTACTTATATATATTTGCTGTATTTTTCAAAGATTGTGGTCAGAACATCTGAAAGCTGGCCTTCCTCAGAGCAGCATAAACAGGGTCGCCCTCTTTCCCTGATGTTCATGATGCTTGCGTGTTTGGTGGTTTGTGTGGGAACAGTGCCCACTCCCACTCTGAAAGTCTGTCCTCTTCTTCACACGTTGGGTAACACGTAGCAACTGTGAAACAAGCTTGGTAATTTAAGGCTCACGAACACTGATTTCATTACTCCTGCCCTACACATGGATCTGCTGGATGGCTGCCCGTGTGCTTCCTCACCAGGCCAGATGACCTCCTGGGAGGTGGCAGGATGGCAAGAGACCCAGAGCGCAGCATCCTCCACTGACCTGTTCCATCCTCACTAACAGTTCAAGGGGTGCTGCCTGGCTGTGGCCCTGGGGGCCCTCTGTAGTATTTAAGAGGCTAGCGGTAGTGTCCAGGTACACTTATGTGTAGGAGGCTCTTGGTGATTATATTTGTGGATCAGTGAAACTCATTTGCTTGGGAAGGTATTGTAAGTAAACAAGGGACAAGTCTTGTAGCTGGATTTCATTGGGCAGGTCACTTTATTGAAAGTCTTTTGCTCCCTCAGACCTGACGCATAATGAGCCTGTCCTGACAGCCTCATTTCTATTAATGGTGTCCTGTCCTCCACACATGCATGCGCCATCTGCACTTCCTTTTTCTCTTGGTGTCCTGCCTCTCCCTGTGTACAGTCACCTTGAGTCTTGGTTCTTCTTTCCCCAGTCTTGGGTTACATTTGTTTCACTGCCCCAACCTGTCATCTTGATCTGCAACAAGGCAAGGTTTTCACTGTTGTAGGTTTTTGTGACTGCAGCTGGCCAGGCATTTGGCTTGCAGAGGTGAAGAAGGTCAGGTCTGCTTTCAAGGGTGGAGCAGCTCACCTGTTACTGCATGTTTCCTTCCTCCTGCCCTGGTTTTCTCCTTAGCTTATGCCCATTTCATTCTAGTTCCCTTAAACTTAATTTTGAGGTGAGGATTCTCTGTGCTGCCCAGGCAGCCTTTGAATTCCTGGACATCTGAGATTTTCCTCTGTCAGCATCTTCACTGGCCTGCCCCACCCCACCCAGTGTCTTAGAAATGTGGAATCCTGATTCTCCCCGCCCTACCCTGCTGGAGTTTTGAGAGATCCTTAGGTAATTCCTGGGACTCCTCCAGACTACCACATTCTTGCAGACCTGCGAGGAGACTCACTGTGGGTGGGACTTGCTTGGCAGCCCTGAGCACGCCAGTGGCCTATGTGCTTTCTGTCTGGGCCTAGAAGTTGAAGGGGCTGGTCAGGTCCTTAGCACCCTTGCTTGATTTTTTTTTGTCTATGATGCCCTTTCCTAGGAAATTCTCCAGCTCCTCTTCTCCAGCCCTTCCCAACTGTCTTTGTACAGAAAGTCTCTTCCTGAGTACAGTTAATACTTTGGATTGGTTGGTTGGTTTTTTTGAGACAGGGTCTCCTCCTGTAGCCCAGGATGGCCTCAACTCCAGAGGTAATCCTCTTGGCTCAGCCATAGGCTGGAATCATACCTTGCCCAACCACATTCAGCTTTTGACTTTCTTGTTACTAGTTCTCATGAATCTATAATGCCTGCTACGTAGGAGGGGCTACATCTTTTGTTTTGCCTGTTCCACATTGCTTTGCATTTCACTAAGGAGCTTGATAGATACTTTCTTTTTTTTTTTTTTTTGATACTTTCTAATCTTCCTAATTTAGACATTTCATTTACGGTATGTTCCACTTTCTACTCTCTTAGTTGATGCTTTCTGGGCTAACATTAGGGCAGTTGCAGTCTGTCTCAACTATCTTTTGTGTTTAGATATGTGAAGTAAAATTAGGAAAGGTTTTTATACTGTCAGTTGTTTTGTTAGTTTTTATGGTGTTAGAGCTCAGAGTGGGTCCCTTTTCCTTCAGACCTACAGACCTAGTGCCCAGCCTATTCTGCACTGAGCTGCTCTGGCGCAGCAAGTTCACCCACCCAGTGTGGTCTGGTAACACTCATCTGAAGCTCTGTCAGGTTTTTCTGTGGCTTGGCAGTGGCAGAAGTAAAAGGAAAGGATGGAAAAGGCCTTTATTGCCACTGAGTAGGACACAGAAAGGATCGATGGCAGGGGGATGGGGGATCCTCTGACCTGAAAGAGGAAGGCTGGGACTTTAGGGACTTCTGCTAGGGGCCAGTTTGAGGGGCTGGTCCAGTGACAGACAAGGAACTGACTGGGGGCTCCCTTGTGTACATGGGAAAGGTAAAGGAAGCTATATCCAGGCCTGGGCTGGGGCGGGAGGAGGAAGTGGTCATTGGGAAGACAAGCTGCTATTTTGGGGATTCAGCCATGTTGATTCAGGACCATGATAATTTAGCAGCCTGTACTCGGGCTGGAACCTGTCACTAGCCAAGACCTTCTCCCAAGCCATCAGTTAGTTGTAGTGGTCAGGAGAGTCTCCTGGCACAGGGGCTCTCTGGAGTAGAAGGGTTTATTGAACAGTCAAAGATGATACCCAGACTAGGGAGGCCCCCGGGACTAGGACACCTTCCCACAGCTACCAGCTACAGGGAAGTTGCAGTTGGCAAATGTCCTCTGGGCAGAGCTAGAGCATCTTGTGTAGACTTTGGAGGACACTAGCAGCAGCATGGGGAAAGCTTGGGATAGGAGGGCAACCCCTAACCGGAAGCCATTGCTTCTGGACTTGTGAGAGGCCCAAGTCCAGAGGGTGCCAGGTAGACAGGGTGGGGCGGTCTGCTGTCATGGATGTAAGTCAAGGTTTCAGCATAAAAACTTCTCCCTGTGGCTGTTAACTGATTAACTTCCCTTATCTGTCCCTCCACCCTGTGGCCTTTGTAATTGAAGATCTCAAAATTTTTCTTTGTCTCAGGCTCCTTGTTTCTGAGATACTGTGCAGATCCGTGGGCAAAATTTCCAAGGCTGTGCTGGCTCAGGAAGCAGTCTCAATTCCCAAGGCTCCAGGGCTGTCTGCTGTCATGGGCACAGTGTGAGCATGCCCTCCTGCCTCTGGGCTACACAGTGGCGCGCTAGGTGCTCCCAGACCCCCAGCGGTTGCCCCACTTCCTCAGCCTCTGCTCCTTCCCTCTGCACATTGGCGCTATGCCTTCTTCCAGGCCTGCAGCTCAGGGTGCCCCAGGGGTTTGTGTGGCTTGTCCTTCAAGATCCCGGCGGTTCTGTTCCTTGCCCACTCACTTGCTCGCGGCACATGACCTGTGCACACCTGCTGACCGTCCGTGTGCTCCTGACCAGCAGCTGCATGCGAGCAGAGCTGGGTGGCTGCCTTCACTTCAGTGCCAGCAGTGCCTGTACATGGCAGGCCCACCAGCACTTGGCAGTGGTGGAACACAGAACTGCTAGCTGCTCAGGTTTCCCAGTGATACAGGAGTGATAGAGGACCTCCAAAGAATATAAGGGAAACAGAACTGCCAAGCTCCTCGATGGTCCCATACACTGAGTTCATGTCTCTAAAGTTAAAGAATGGATTCTAAGACAACAGGGGTTAAGAGTCCTTATTGAAAGAAAGAGTCAGCCTAAGGATACAGAAGAAGATCCTCGTGAGTGGGCAGCCCGAGATCCTGGCTTCTCAAGGGAGTTTTATAGAACAAAGCCACTGAGTGAGGCAGCCTGAGGTGGGACAGAACTGTAAGCAGCCATAAGATTATAACATAGTTGCTTAGGTGATGGATTTGCCAACGGGAAATCACATGGTGGGTGTGAGGTGGCACGAAAGTATGGTCAGCCAATAAGATCACTGCTAGGTGAGACCCCAGGGACGACCAAGACCACTGGGCGGCAGGATCAAAGCAAACAGTGACATCTTTATTTCACATTGGGTACAGACTGGTAAAGGGTGAGAAGGCTGTTGACCGAGAGCTAAGGCAGAGAACTTGCTCCTGTGGGCAAGAGAGAGGCCCCTTGGTGGGTTTGGAGCCTCGGCTGGAAGCCCCTGGGGGAAATGTAGGATGACAGTATTTGCTGATTTATAGTGTGACATTCTGTAGATTTACCAGTCTGATAATCATCTTGATGAACAGATTTATTTTGATCTGCAGGCTGAATGAGGGCTTTTTGTTGAAACAGACCAGTGGTCTACTGACTATTTTCTCTTTAGGTTGGGCAGAGTCCAATGTGAGGAACCTAATAATTCCAAGTGTAATCACTTAGTTTATATTGATCAAATGGGTAAGCAAGTCACGTAGCTAGTGCACCTGGGAAGGACAAGGACTTGGGGGTGGGTAACAGGGTGTGGTCCTCCATCCCAGCTGATGGGTGCCTATTTAGAAGATCAGTCACTGCCCCTCATCCCTAGGGGTGTGTGGGTGTGGTCATCCTCTTTTTCAAGCCTGACCTTCAGTGATTGCTTACCCATTTGATCAATATGCCCACCACAGTTGTCTCTACACTGACCTTCTGAGAGCTTGTCCCACTGCCTGTGATGTTTCTAACTGGCTTAGCTGTCTGTAGTACCTACTCCTCACCAGGAGCGCAGCCTGTATTTCCTGGCCTGGCTAGTGGGGCCTTCGAGTTTGGTTTCCTGTACCTCACGCCTCCTACTTTCCACTCACAGTGTCTCACAACAGCTGAGGCTGTGGGGTCACTAGAGTGATTTTTGACCGTGTGTCTGTGTGTATTTTTGAAATTGTAAAGTTACTGTTCCACTGCCTGATTGTAGAGGTATGGTCTGATTCCCTTCTTTGTCGCACGTTCTCTCAATCTGTCTGATGGTGACTTAGTCCTGGTCATGATGGCACGTGGAATGACAGTCAGCTACAAGAAATGGCCCAGCTGAGGATTAAACATCAGGAAGAACTGACTGAATTACACAAGAAACGTGGGGAGGTAAAGGTCACCCCGTTCCACATCTGTCTTCTGCTCCCTGTGAGAGTCCTACCTGTGAATATAGGAGAGCCCTCTCCCCCCAAAGCGAGGGCCGCAGCTCTCCTGAAGGGAGTGAAAACCAAGCAAAACTACCCGGAAGTTCAAGGCCCCTCTGCAAGAGGCAAGCCAGACCCCCACCCCCCACCCAGCAGTGAAGAAGCTTTTGAGAACAAAGAGCTGATTGCCTGATCACTGAAGAGCGTCTTTCATGAAGCTTGAGTGCAATCTCTGGTACTTTAGAAAGACTGTCTCTGTGCTCACTGTAGATGGGGGTCTACGGGCAAGCTTCAGCTGAGGAAGTGGAATTTACTGCCCATCCAGCTGGGTGAGGGTGAGACAGGTGTCTGCAGGGAGCAGCAGGCAGATCCCACACAGCCCCTGCCCCATCAGCCCTTCTGCTCTCTGCCACCACCCTCTTCTTGGTGCCTTTGCCCAAATCTACAGCATCTTTTCTTGCTTAAAAATATACCAGTCATTCGCTGTGTAACTTGCAGGCGAGGCCCTAAGGTCTCTCGTTTATGAGTTTCTTTTTATTTTTCAGCTAGCTCAGTTGGTGATCGACCTGAATAACCAGATGCAGCAGAAGGACAAGGAGATGCAAATGAATGAAGCCAAGTAAGTTGAGAATTGGCGTCCTAGGGCCTGGAGGGAATGGGCACGGGTGTCACATGTGATGTTCAATTGTGCTCCTGAGAACATAGCTGGTGGCCATGCCGCACTCAGCAAGGGCCACTGCAGTGCCTACAGTCTGGAGACCTTGTGAGCTCTGAGAAGGACTCCCAGCATGCTCTTAGGGTAGTAGCCAAGGCCTTGATGTTCAGGGCATTCACAGCTGTCCTGTGGCCACTGCATGGGGACACTGGTGTCTTCCTATGGTAAATTTGGGACCACAACATCTGAGCTCATGGCCGTTGGGATGAGTGTGGTCCTTTGTGAGCAGGACCATTTTTGATCAGGAGAAAACCTGGAAGATTAGAAAACAGGGACTTGGGGTTTTTGTACCTAGAGCTGGGGGACTCCCAAGTCCTGGTACCCCTGTGCAAGCATCCGAAACTCCCTTTCCTGTCCTGCTTCCCTGGAGCCTGCTTTTGCTGCTCATGTGTGGTCAGCAGGAGCCTCGCCCCAGGTATTTCCCAAAAGGACCGTCCTGTGGTGGTGGCCCGTGTTCCTGCTCCTGGCTGGGGCCCACACAGTTGGGCCCTGGCGAGGGATGCCTCTCATGTCATGCTTTCAGGATCACAGAATGTTTGCAGACTATCTCTGACCTGGAGACAGAGTGCCTGGACCTGCGCAGCAAGCTCCAGGACCTTGAGATAGCCAACCAGACCTTGAAGGACGAGTATGATGCCCTGCAGATCACCTTCACTGCCTTGGAGGAGAAACTGAGGAAAACTGCGGAGGAAAACCAGGAGCTGGTCACCAGGTGGATGGCTGAGAAGGCCCAAGAGGCCAACCGCCTCAATGCTGAGAACGAAAAAGATTCCAGGTGGGCCTGCACACCACTAAGCAAAGTACAACCTAGTTCTTTGAAAAGCAGCTTGCAGAGGAACGCAGAAAACGTAGTGCAATTAGAAATAACGATAGTGGAAATAAAAGAAAATTTGCAATTGCGAGGATACACTCTAAGCTGAGCAAAAGAAGACCTCCCAGGAGGTACTGGGCTATACTCTTAGGAAGGCTGGCGCTTTACCTTGGCCTCCACACACCTGTGAAGCAGGTCTTCCCACTACACTTGAAGATTACTCTTACAGGAGCACAGAGTGAGGTTCCCAGTGGAGTTCATTGCTGTGTCGTCTTGTTTATTTGGTGGTGAGATGATGATTTCTGTTTTCTCCTTTTATGTTTTTCTACATTTCATAACATTGTCTTTTTGTCTTTGTTTTGCTTGTGACGCTGGAAATTGAGCCTGGGCCTTCAGACCTGCTAAGCACACGCTCTACCGTAAAGCTACATATCCAGCACTTTTTTTATGTTGAGGGAGGATCTAACTACATGTCCAGGCCTTCCTCAAACTGGTGATCCTTTGCCTCAGCCTCCTGAGTAGCTGCTAGTACAGATGTGGGCCCCCGTGCCTGGCTAAAGCTCATGTCATGGCACTCTTGGCAGTGAGAGGTTGGCTGCATGCCTCACCACCCCAACAGGCAGCCAGCGCAGGGCGTGGGGCAGGGCCAGTGGTTACAAGAAGCCCCCCGAGGGTCCCAGGCTGCAGTAGGCAGTGGGGACTTTCCAAAGGGACTTGCTTTAGTTGCTGCTGTTCTTCATTCATCCCCTGGAAGTGTGTTCCAAGGACTGTCCTTGAGGTATCTGTGACAGCAGGTATAGGGCCTGCGCCTGCTTGCAGGTGCTTTAATCCTCAGGGCCTTCCCTCGCTGCCCATTTTCTGCCAGCCTCACTTCCCGTGTGTGTTGTGGTCCCCACCACCTTTCTGCCTCAGCTTTTGCCTGTCCGGTCGTGAACAGAGGGCACAGTTTGGAAATAGCCCTTCATGTGTGCCCCACTTCCCATGGTGGCCTGTGCATGGGTCTCCACAACAGGCATGGGAGCTGCTACACAGGAGGTGCTCAGGATGCAGCAGAAATACTGGTCCTTCCCTCACCCTCCGGGGCTTTATCCCGTGCCTGCCCTGTGGGAAGGGAGGGCCTGAAGAGAGAGTGGGCTTTGGTGGCTTGACGGCCGGGTGCTTCCTGTGCGCCAGTGCTGCTCTTGTCCTCCCCATGCCTGATGCTGCTTCACCCTCACGGCAATTCATGAGTTAGCTCTCCTACCTCTGGGTAGTTGGGTAAATTCTGTTCTTGTAATCTTTCCTGGAAAATTTAATTTTCACCCTAATTCTAGTAAGGTACCCTTATCTCTTCCTGAGATTCTGACAGTCACCTAGAGGGCATTTCTCCACTGGAGAGTCATCCCTGAGAGGCCACGGAAGTCACAAGACTGAGCAATTGGTGTTGACAAGCAGCTCTGGCTTAGCAGAAAGAATGGGAGGGAGGGCCAAAGTGACCCTGTGATAACTATTTACATAGCATTTATGTCATCTAGAATGGTCTCAAATACAGTAGAGTATTGTAAGTTTCCTGTGCAAATACTGTGTCCTTTTGGTTTTAGCTGTGTGACTATTTTATTTATTTTTTCTATTTTAGGGAAGGGCCTACAGGGTGTTCAGGGTCTCACAACTAGATCGGACTCTAATGATCCACCTGTTCACAGCCTCCCAAGAGCTAGGATTACAGGCTCATGCCACCACGCCCAGTCTCAACTGCCCTCTTGTGCGCCCCGGGGGCAGGGCCAGCATGGCAGGCCCAGGGATCAAGCCCCTGGCCCCAGCGCCTGCTTGCAGGTGCTTTAATCCGCTGAGCTATTTGGCCAGCCTGTGTGACTATTTTAAAACTATAAATTTTTTTAAAATTTACATTGATTATGGGGCCGGGGAGATTGCTCAGTAGAATAAATGCTTCCCTGGCAAGCGCAAGGGTGTGAGTTCAATCCCCGGTTCCAGAAAAAAAAAAAAAAAAGGTATTCCTTAGGGGCTGGTGAGATGGCTCAGTGGTCTAAAGCACCTACTTAGAACAAGCTTAGCAAAGCACGTGGACCACAGTTCAATCCCCCAGCACCACATGCCAGCCAGCCCCGCCCCCTGGTGGCCAGAGCTGCCCCCCCACATAAATAAATAAATTTTAAAAAAAAATTTACATTGATTATGCATCCTGTAAAATGACCACTTATGAGTCTGTAGCAATAGATTGAACCAACATTAACTATTCCTTCCCAAACAAAAATGAAGAGAATGGCAAGCTATTTATGAGGTAACATGTAATTAATTATGTTGACCAAGCTGAATTTTTGAACGTTCTCTTTGGTCGAGCAGTTTTCTCCTCCAAGTATAACGCTATTCCATTGCCTTTTCAATGCCTTCATGGTATTTCTCTTTTTTTTTTTTTTTCTTCATGGTGTTTCTCCACAGAGGATACTGCGCCACTTTTACAGGGTCTTGAGGGGCCTCTGTCTCCTGGGGAGGATTGTCCCAGGACCCGAGGCCCATGGGCACTGGGGGGACTGCTTAGGTCACTGGGCTTTTGGGAGGATTCTATGGATTGCATGAGCCAAGTCACAGCCGGGTCTCGCCCTCAATACATCTGGAGCAGCTTTCTGTCCCTTAAGGCCCTGGCCAGCCTCTTCCCTGCCTAGTGCATAGCTTGCTTTGATAACACTCTCCTCCAGTTCTTACTCTGAAGCCGTGTTCCTGGGGAGCCTCAGCAGTGTTTGGGGTTTGTGACATGGGGCACCTTTGCCCAGGGGGCTGTTGTTTTAGATGCACTGAATATTCCAGTTGTGTCATTGGAACCAGGAGAGAGTAGGGTTTTGTTTTTTTTTTTGTTTTTGTTTTTTTGGTGGTGGGGGGGGGTTGAGGCAGGGTCTCACTTTGCAGCCCAGACTGGTCTCAAACTGGGCTGCCTCAGCCTCCGAGTGCTGGGATTGCAAGTGTGCATCACCACGCCCTGTGAGATTAGATTATTGAGAGCAAACCCCACGCAGATCTGAACAGGGCTCTTTTGTTTTAAAACAGGCGGCGGCAAGCACGACTTCAGAAAGAGCTTGCGGAAGCAGCAAAGGAGCCTCTGCCAGTTGAACCGTGAGTAGAAATCAGCTGCTCAAAGCTCTGCTCTTGATGCCTTGTCTTGCTTTAAATAGTTTTATAATGTCTTTATTTTTATAGAACCACTTTGCAGGTTTTGGAAATAGACCTAAAAAGCTAAAGGCAGAAAAGCAAAGTGTAATACTACTAACACCCGAAAACTAGCAACTGCATGCCGTTTTAGTTATGTATTGGTGTTTTTTGATTCTACACTTAGAAAAACCTGGAAATGGTCTTTGATCCTATTTCTGTTTATTTACCTGGGCAAAAAATTATAAAAAAATGGTCTAGTCAAAATTTTTAGCAGGTTGGAGAGATATCTCAGAGGCATAAGCACCTGCCTAGCAAATGCAAGGTCCTGAGTTCAATCCCCAGTACTAAGAAAAGACAAGTGCAACATTTTCAGAACATGTATCCAAATTATGTTACAGAAACACTGTTCCTGCCAGGTGTGGTGGCTCATACCTGTAATCCTGGCACTCATCCTCTGAAGCAGGAGGATCCTTGGACACGCTGGGCTACAGAGTAAGCTCAAGGCCAGCCTGAAGGGCATAGCAAGACCTTGTCTCAAAAAGATACACACACACACACACACACACACACACACACACACACACTGTGTTCCTGTTTACATGTCTCATCAGCTTCAGTGGTGAGTGTGAATCTTGCTTCCTGCACAGGCATCATCTCTGTTTCTTGTTGACACTTCCGTCACTTGTCTGCCTTTATTGGGCCTCTCATCATGTAACCTGGCCTGAGGTTTGTCCTCCTAGTGTTTGGTTTATGACATATAAGGGCAAGTTTTGCCAAATCTTTTGTGTGTGTGTTTTTTTTTTTTTTTTTTTTGCGGAACCGGGCATTGAACTCAGGCCCTTGCACTTGCCAGGGAAGCGCTTATTTCACTAAGCCATTTCCCCAGCCCTTTGCTAAATCTTTGAAATGTAATTGAAGACCTCTGAAGTAATGTGAGAGCAACCGCACTACTCGTAACCTTTTAACTTGGTTGTAGCTAATGGGTTCCATTCTAGTGCCACAGCAATTCCAGTGAACATGACTGACTGACACTCCTGTCTTTCAGTTTCAGGAACTGGAGACAAATGGGGAAAAAAAAAATAAAATAAATGTTAGAGCAAACTCTTAAAGCAAAAGAACTTGAGTCTGTTGTGGAGCTTTTCCTAATCTGCTTGAAGACAGGGCCTCACTTGTTAGGGTGGCTCCCGCTCACTTTGTAGTCCCGATGGGCCTTGCGCTTGCGGCAGTTCTTCAACACCCCCCCCCAAAAAAAAAAGGTGTGCCCCGCCTGGGGCCAAGGAAGGGCACCTAGCCGGGCGTGTGCACCCCTAGGTTCATTCTAGTGCATCTTCAGAGGGTTTTCATAGTGATTGTATTTTGTTTCCTGCGGTCACAGTCCCTGTGCAGTTCCAGGCCTTCCAGGGCCATAAAATGTTGAGCCACTGGAGGTAGGTGCAAGGTGGCACTGTTGCGTGCCACCTGATGGGCCATTCATGCATGTGCTACCACCAGGGAGACAAGATGGTTCACACGCCCTACCACAAACATGGTGAGTGGCATTGTCGGGGCTTCACTCTTGGCTCCTGCATTCCTCTGCCATGCCGTACTCGGTGAGCACAGGTGACCCACACACACTTGGGTGTGTGAAGAGCAGCCAGGAAAGCTCGGGCACAGCCTGGATTTCCTTGTTTGTTTTCTTCTACATCCTGCCCAAGAGTGTGGGGCAAGGCTGTGTAGGCCTAGACTAAATAAAGGATTGTAAATTTACTTTGATATGGTTTAACTTGCTTGGTCACAAAATCCTAAGTATATATTCACATACTCCTCATAATTCATAGAAAAGGCAAAGTCTTGGTTTTGAGAGCTTAAGAAACCAAGCAGTGGATGATAAAAGTGTTGGGCGATTGCATTTTATTTCTTCTCTGTGAAGATTGCAGCTTAGTAGGAAGTCAGCAAAACCAAAGTAATCATTTGCTTTCCCCTTGGTCAAGAAGACACAGCCTGTAAAAACATGGAGGACACGGAATATCAGGGCTGTTTGCATTTGGTAGGAGAAACTCCAGCAAGAGGAGTGTGTTCCCATGAGCGGGTGATGTCGCTCAGAATTCATGGCTCTGTCTGTCAGCAGCATGAATTGATAGGTGGTGACATAAGTGCAAGATGTCCAGAGTCAAAAACAGATACTGTAGTACACACAGTTTGCTTTGGACACTTGTTCTCAGCATCTGGGGCTGAACAGATTCTTTTCCTGCTTCTCCAGAGTGACAGCTCTTCTGTTTCCTCCAGTGCACCTTCACTGTTGCCATCCCAGCTGAGTCCCAGGTTGTCTGGGACAAGAAAACGATGTTGGCCTCTGCTGAACTGATGAAACACAAAGGTCCTGCTCAGCACAATGACACAGCCTTCTGCTTTTCCTTCCAGGGATGATGACATTGAAGTCATTATTGATGAGACCTCGGATCACACAGAGGAGACCTCGCCTGTGCGAACCGTCAGCAGAGCAGCCTCGTGAGTAGCCGGGATGGGCCGGGGCAGGGAGTGTTCCGATGGCACTGTGACAGCACACGTGTGGACAGAAGAGCGTAGTCGTGCACCCAGACCCTGCAGCCCCAGACACCCTCTCCACCACGGAGCTGCCCATCCTCCTCATCCCCCCACCAAGGAGAGTGGGAAGGAAGCAGATGCAGGTGGCCTCGGACTTCCTAAAAGACGGCCCAAATGGCTTTCCGGTCCAGGGCTGAGAGGTTTAAGACCCCAGAGTAGGGCTTGAGAGAATGGGGATTGGCTATGAATACCCAGAAATGGCAGTTAGACAGGTTCCTGTCCAAGGCTTGGTTTCTGGGGAAGCTAATTTCATACTAGGAAAGCTTGTTTCTTGTAAGACTTCTAGGCTGGATTTCCCTTCTACCTTTCCCATTATTTCCTGGCAGCTCAGATGCTGTGTTGAGTCTCTCTCAGCTGGGATTTGGGGACTGAATGAGAAACACCTTCCCGGGTACTTGTTTTTATGGGCTGTTTTGATTGATTATTGAGGCAAAATGTTTCTAAGGTTTAAACCTATCCTCCCCTCCTCTTTAGTAAGCGACTCTCGCAGCCTGCTGGAGGCCTTCTGGATTCTATCACTAATATCTTTGGGTAGGTTAGAAGACCTTTCCTTTTTAAAATTTGTATAAATATACTAAGCATATGTACATGGGTTATTTTTAAATTACACAAAAATTTCAGTGATACAGAGAATACAGATGCCTTAATTTTGGCTTCATTTGGCTTCTTCCTTCTTCTTCACCTTCCTTTCTCTTGTCCTGCTGCGTGCTGATCTCTGGCCCTTCCCTTTAGTCTGTCCGACTCCCCCCTCTTGGGACACCATTCTTCTGATGCTGCCAGGTGAAAACACTCCTCCCCTCTCAGCCCAGCATGTGAATGTGGGTTATTGATAGCCTCGCTGTGCCCGCAGTCATCAGGTGCCCACACGCTCACCAGGATGCTTTGCATGCTCCCAGGAGTGAGTGCCGCTCACCCCCGCTAGCTGGCCGGGGAGCTCCTTGTCGGTCGTCGCGCTCGCGTCAGCGCTGTCTCTTGGCCTGTATGCAGCTCTGCCTTGCCCATGTGTACACTGAGTGATTATAGCGGGTGTAAGCACCACCTTCAGAGCAGTGTTAAGAACATACAAAGAGCTGCTGCGCCTCTACGGGAAGCGGGCTAAGTTCCCTGGCCGTTGAGTGGCAGGGTGAGCGATTGTTGCTCGGGCTGGCTCTTCTAAGTTGTGTCGGAACCTGCGCGATAGCGAGCAGGAGGCCGGGGCATGCGCTGGCTTCCTTTCTTGTGATTTGAGTGAGGGCACTTCTGATTCTGTGAGTCCTGTGGTTTGAAGGGCCTGGAGGGGAAGAAGCAAGCTATGGACACAGGCAGTGCTGCTAAAGGGAGTTAATCTGGAGGCTCGTTGCAGCTTGCTGAGCAGGAGCCCTCAGCCACCTGTCTCACACTTGCCTTTCTGTTGCTCCTTAGGAGACGCTCTGTCTCTTCCTTCCCAGTCCCCCAGGATGTAAATGTGGATGCTCGTCCTGGGCCCGGGAAAGATGTGAGGGTCCCGACCACGGCCCTGTGTGTCTTGGTGAGTAGCCCCTTCCGCCTGCCAGGCAGGCTGCTATGTGCTGCAGGCTGCCCCGGGTTTTGGTGGTGGTTTCACGCCAGGTCCTTACACCTGCTGGCTCTGCACACCCACAGTGGCCTGTGTTGTGCTCAGCTCTAGAGCATAGAATGTATTGCTTCCAGTTCTCTGTACCCAGACTGGCTGAGAGGCACAAGATGGGCAGCATGAGGAACGAGGCAGGGGACAATAATGAGCGCGAAGTCAGAGGGTGGCAGTCTATGCAGGCATTGCCTCCAGGTGACTCTGGTGTAGAGAGGCAGGTGATACGATTTGGAGTCCAGCAGGACAGCTGTTGGCTTCACAAGTAAAAGTCCTGTCTGGTATGTGACTTCCTCCAGCACATGTCCTAGACGGGGGCTGCAATGAATTACTGTCGCCTAGAATTCAGAGCTGGGTCCTGGTACGAACAGATAATCTGTGAACCAGCCTGAGCAAGGGCCTGGTGCCAGGCCTATGGCTGGGGGGCGGGGCAGCACTAGGAGCTCAGAGTTGCCCTGGAGCTGGTGGGTGAAAGGGGGCCTCCGAGGCTGCTGTCTGTGCAGGAGGACGTGCTGTGGAGATGGGCTAGCTGTGGGCGCTTCCAGGCACGGGGAACCCCTTTGGCAGGGAAGTCTTGGCTTCTGAGTAGAGTCGCGGGTGGGAGGAGGAACTGGACTGGGGCAAAGGGCCCTCTGTAGCCCACCCTGCCCCTGTGACTCCACAGCGGCCCTGGGTGCCCCACAGAGGTCAATGATGATTGGTAAAAGGTCTGATGCGCCGAACGTCACAGTCCTCTCCCTGCCCTTGGCTCCCAGCTGCCCATTGTGTTTCCTGGCACAGTTGAGTCATGTGCCGGGGTAGCCGAGCGGCTGACATGCAGGGACCCTGTCATCATGTGTTCTGAGAGTGAGCAGTTCACAGCCGACTCAGGTCCAACATGACCACTTCTGCAGGAGCATGACGAGCAGCAGGAGGGTGTGACGGTGCCTGATCTCAAGTTTTCAATCTGAGACCTCCACTGGGGCACTTTTCAAAAAGGGAAAATTGCCTGGAGATAAAAAGTCTGGTGAGCTGTCTCTAGAGAGTCTCTGCAGCCAGGGAACACAGGAGTCACATCACCAAGACACTGCACTCTTTCCAGCCTGTCACAGGCGCTTTGCGGGTGGCGTCTTCTTCTGGGGCAGATCCCAGCAGCAAGAGTAGGTTACAGTGATGTTCTCTGAGGCCTTCCTTTCCTTCTAGAATGAGGTGCTTTTTTTATAGCCACATGTGCCATCTTTTTTTTTTTTTTTTTTTTTTTTTTTTTTTTTTGCGGAACTGGGGATTGAACTCAGGCCCTTGTGCTTGCCAGGGAAGTGCTTATTCTACTGAGCCATCTCCCCAGCCCCTGTGCCATCTTTTTAGCCTGATATTTCCATGTTTGTTTAAGTCCCAGAGACTTCTGGGAAGCATTTGGGTTTTTTTGGTCTTTTTGGCAGAACTGGAGGTTGAACTCAGGCCCTTGCACTTGCCAGGCAAGCACTTATACTACTGAGCCATCTCCCGGCCCCCTGAAATTCTTAAAAAATGACAGCTGATATATGTATTGATGGCCTAAACCATTTCTGTAGAAGAGCGGGCTGAGGCCTCAGCATGAGGAGCTTGGCAGGGTCACAGCGCTGGCACAGTGCTCCCACAGAGAGCTCTAGGCTACTGTTGCAACACGGATGGTGCCTACCAGTAGGAGTGGCATCTGCACGTAAGAGGAGTCATCAAGGAAGCCCCACCGTCAAAGGCGGTGTGCTGCATGATATTCAGATACATTGCCCTGAATATTAATTAAGGAGAAGCTAGTCGGGGCTGGGGAGATGGCTCAGTAGATAAGCACTTGACTGGCAAACTCAAGGATCTGAGTTCAATTCCCGGTTCCACAAAAAAAAAAAAAAAAAAAAGGAGAAGCTAGTGATAGAGGGGAAACCTAATAATCTGGAACAAGAGAGGAATTTGAATTGTAGGCCTTTTTTTTTTTAAATTTTTATTTATTCGTGGGGGGGGCAGCTCAGCCCACCAGGGGGAGGGGCTGGCTGGCATGTGGTGCTGGGGGATTGAAACACAGTCCCTGTGCTTTGCTAAGCTTGTTCTAAGTAGGTGCTTTAGACCACTGAGCCATCTCATCAGCCCCTGTAGGCCTGTTTTTAAACAAAGATTACTGAGTTATCGTTCTTAGAAAGTAAAATTAAAACAAAGACATTTTAGGCAGGCAGTCTACCCTGATTCCGAGTCCTGTCTGAGAAGGTTGCACTATAACTGTAAGGTGGTATTAGAATCAGTCCCAGGGACCCTGAGCTAGGAGTCCACTGTGTGTCAGGGTGAGCCTGCACTTTGAGATCAGAATTGGATGCTGTCTTGGCCACGCTGGTGGTAACCGCTTGCTTGTGTTGCAGGATGCACATGATGGCGAAGTGAACGCGGTGCAGTTCAGCCCGGGTTCCCGTGTGCTGGCTACGGGGGGCATGGACCGGAGGGTGAAGCTGTGGGAAGTGTTTGGAGGTGAGAGCCATTTGGGTCTGCAGAAGGGGGCTGTGCTGGTGGCAGCCAGTCCACCATGCTAGTAGGCACTCTTTGAATTACCTTAAAACGTAAAGCATTGTGTGGAAGGAGTCATCTGACCAAAGCGTGGTTAGCATTTTAGGTTCTTTTTGCACCTGAGTGGGTGTGTGCTCTGATTTCCCCAGTAGTGACAAAAAGGACTGCTTTTACAGGTTCCCTCAGTTAGGAAGTCTTAGGTAGGGGCTGGGGAGTTGGCTCAGTAGAATAAGCGCTTCCCTGACAAGCACAAGGGCCTGAGTTCAATACCTGGTTCTGCCCCCCCCCCCAAAAAAAAAAGGAGTCTTAGGTAATTTTCCTTATACTTAGGAGAACATCTTGAAAAATTGCATCAACTTGAGAAGGAAAGTTCAGTCTCTAATTAAAACTGTGCATTAAACTGGAATATGTTCACTGTGATGGCCCAGGAAAAATGCACAAACTCAGGAAAGGGGTATTGCCTAGGAGGAGGGCCTTGGGCTCGTGTGGGCGTGGCTTAATTTTGACATCCTCCAGATTCTGCTGAATATGCATGTATTGCGGCTAATGGCCTTACAGAGTAAGGCTAGGGGTTCTTTAGAAACCACTTTTTTGTTTGTTTGTTTGTTTGTTTGTTTATTTATTTATTTATTTATTTTGGCAGAACCAGGGATTGAACTCATAGAAACCACTTTTGAGCCAGCTTGGGGTATAGATCAGTACTAGAGCAATCCCAGGATATGCAAGGCTCCACCTCTACCCCAGCACTACTAAATAAGATAAAGCAAATAGCTTGTTTTATTAAGGTATACTGGCAATTTGCTATCTAGTTAGTTAAATAAAATTTTTTTAAATTTCTGTTTATGGCAAGAGACAGGAAAAGGAATGTTGTGGGACTGTCCTGCTTCAAGGTTGTATGTGGTTAGATTTTTGGACTTATGTGTAAACATAAGAATTATATAATTCTTTATGCCTATTTTTAAAAATATATTCTAATTTTTAAATGTTTTTTCATCATATTCTGTAGGGACTTAAAGTTCAACATACCAATATTTGATGAAAAATACCTGTTCCATGTTATGCCTAAGATGTTTGATATTCAGATAGTGAGGTTAAGCTTAACAGGCTAGGTTGTATGGTAATAACAATAAGCTTCTCTTCTGGAGGGTTAACAACCTAAGTTTGCAGACCAAAATTAGAGAAAAAGGAGGGTCACAAGGAAAGCCAACATTTTGGCCCTAGCCTTCCAAGGTCAGTGAGGACTCAGGACATATGAGAACTTGTACTGTAATATCATGTAACTCGGTAGTGTCCCAAATCTTCTGATCAAGGAGGTTATGGGGCCAAAGAGGAAAGTGATCGATGGTATAGAGTGTGCCTAAGGAGAGTCACATGGAGAGAAAACATTCTCTCAGGCTTTCACAGAGAGCACATTGACCAAGCATTGGCCATGACTCATCCACATGGCTGACACTGACAAAGGTTCTACAATCTGAGGTACAAGATCTCAGGATAAATCCTGAGGGGATTTCACTGACCTTATCAGACCCAAAAGCTACAACTCTTGTTGCATAGGTCCTGCTTTACCTTGGTCTTAACCATCCAACAGAAAAGTATAAAAACAAAGTATAAGAAGTAAAGCCATGGTGTGATGTTGAGTTGTAGGGGACTCAGGTCAACAATTCCTGACACTGCCAGTCAAGCAGAAGACCCAATACTATTATGGGCTACTGGACTCTTTTAGAATATTTTGCTGAGTTAACACACCTATAATATTCAAACAACGGAACTTAACAAAAGGAGATACAGATGAATGTCCATTTTGTATCTGTGTATTCAAAATGGTTAGGATAGATATATAGTTACATTCTCTTAATGAATAGAAGGATTTGTTCTAATGGTGTTTGTAAATAGTATATCTTGTCCGCATCTTGTACAGCAGTTAACCACTAGGAAGAGAGTATGCAATGTGTTAATTATTGAAACTGTCCTACCAGTTTGGTTTGAAATTGTCTCATTGCTATTTGTTTCTCAATAAAATTATGGGAAAAAAAAATTTCTGTTTACATCATGGTGAAAATTACCACACCATGGATTCTGAATACAATGGTCAGTTTCTATAAAAGTGGTAGCAGGCACAAATACTAGTCAAAGCCCAAGATTAATTTTAGTTAAGTAGAAAAGGTGACTGAGGAATAATGGAACTAAATAAATTGAGTCTCTAGTTTGATTGACATGATTGACATGTCTCTAGATAGCAAAATGCCAGTTTTACAAAGTCCTATACCTTCCTTTTTGTGAAGGGGAATTAATAACTAAATGTCTTAACATTTTAAGAACATACGGCAGGCGTGGTTTCAACATACCTATTCAAGCACTCTGAAACCTGAGGCAGGAAGATTGTATGAGTTTGAGACCAACCTAAACAACTGTGCAGCAAGATCCTGTCTTTAAAAAACAAAAAAGAAACAAAGAAAGAACACATACAAATGCCAGAGCCTTCATCTACTTAAACATTGGTCATTGTTAAAGACTAACAGTGTATTTTGCCTTTCATATTGTTTGTCCTCCAGTTTGACTCTGTAAAGATGCAGGGAAGCTCCTGTTGTGACAGAGAGCTATCTATCCTTCGTTGTATTTCAGTGCCCCATGGTGACATACTTACTTGTCTTAATGTCCTCTCTCTTAATGTTTTCTTTTTATACAGACAAATGTGAGTTTAAGGGTGCCCTATCTGGCAGTAATGCTGGAATTACAAGCATTGAATTTGATAGTGCTGTAAGTATCTAGTATTTATGACTTTAGAAATTTTTGAAGAATTGCCATAAGACATTTGTGTATTTCTTTGTTTGTTTTGAGACAGTCTCAGCCATGTAGTTGAGGCTGGTCTCAAACTCCTTGTGTATCCCAGGCTGCTTTAGAACTCACACTGATCCTCCTGCCTCTGCCTCCTAAGTGCTGGGATTACAGGCATTTGCCACCATGCCCAGCAAGGCATCTGATTCTTAAAATGAAAAGGTAACTTACTTGGTTTCTCTGCCTTTTTTTTTTTTTTTTTTTTTTTTTTTTTTTTTTTTTTTTTTTTTGGCGGAACCAGGGATTGAACTCAGGCCCTTGCACTTATTCCACTGAGCTATCTCCCCAGCCCCTCTGCCATTTTTTATATCTGAAGTCAAGTCTGTGTTGTTAGCTGAGCATGGTGGTACACACCTGCTACCCCAACACTTGGGGTGCTGAGGCAAGAGGATCAGGGTCAGCCTGAACTACAGAGAGCCGTGTCTCTAACACCAACAGAACTCACCTTGTTAGAGAAAGGAGAAAGTGGATGCTAGATGACAAACTCTGACAAACCCTGAGGTTTATTCTGTGTGTCAGGCTTAGAGTGTCATAATTCCACCTCACAGCTGAGTTTGTGTATGTTCAGATGCTGCTCTCAGGGAGTCCTGTTTAAGTGAGCGTTATAGGAGCTCTGAACTGCATGTTGTCGTGCAGAGGTAGTGTGAGATGGAGCTGCCGAGGGCTGGGATGAGGCCTGGGATGCAGGGATGCAGGTATGCATCGAAGCTGAGTGGGCTTCTCCTAGCACCACAGTCGGACCCAGGGCTTTGTGCATGCTGCCAGGCACTGGGTTTCACCCCCAGCCCAGAGAGCTTTTAGAGAATGGTTCCGTGCGAGTTCAGGGATAGCTGGCAGCAGTAGAGGCTGGGTTGGGAAAGGCAGGACTGCAGTGGCCCATGAGCTCAAGGCTGCAGAGTGGATTGGGCCAGGGGTTGCTGGAGGGTGGGCTGTGTGCCCGGAATGGGGTGGGCTCACAGGGAGGCAGGGCAGGGAGAGTACAATCCCTCTGGACTCTGGCCTGGGCTGTGCCTAGGGCTTTGTTTTTGCTGTTACCAGTAGCAGGGGCGAGGGCAGAGGGAGGCACGTTGTACACATGAGGTGCCCCACTCTCAGGGGGGAAGGGCTGGTTTGGAAGATGGTGGTTGACGAGCTGGTGCTAGCTTGTTGTGTTTCGACTAGGCGTGAAGCGTTGGTATCTGGGTCTTGGGTGTCATTATCTGTCCTGTGAACTGAATTCCTCTGTTCTGGCTAAAAGTTGCTTTTTTTCCCTTTGTTCCTATAGGGAGCGTACCTCTTAGCAGCTTCAAATGACTTTGCAAGCCGAATCTGGACTGTGGATGATTATCGGTTACGGGTAAGACGCAGCTAAAAAATCCTGCATGTGATGTCCAGGTGTAAAATACAGAGAAAACAGGTGACAGGGACTTGTGCAGTTCCCTGAAAATCATTCTCCATTAACCCTTTCCTCAGTGAGAAACTGTAGGTTTCTATATGACAGTCTCACCTTGTCTGGGATCTAATTTCAACACTCTGTTGAAACCTTCAGGGCCAGTGAGATAGCTCAGCAGACTAAACACCTGCTTAAGCAAGCACAGGGATCAGGGGTTTGATCTCCAGCACCACATGCCCTACATACTGTGCCAGCCACCAGGAGCAGGTGTGGTGGTACATGCCTGTAATCCCAGTGCTAGGAGGCTGAAAACAGGAGGATCACTAAGAGACCAAGGTGTGTAGTGAGACCCTGTACCAAATACAAAGTACATAAATAAATATCTTCACATTCCATGAACTCCTGTTTGTAAGAACTAGATCAAATAACAACTTCAGTTTAACTTAGCGTCACAAGAATTAGTACCAGCGTGTAAATGGTGAATCATAAGCCTCACCCTAAAAGTCACCTCCTGGGGTGTAGCTGAACAGTGGGATATACAAAAAGAAAGAGGTGGTTACTGGCTGACTTAGTGGCAGCCAGGGGAGGAGGACAGGGGACAGTTGTGCCCACTGCTGTATTTCATACGTAGAGGTCATTCTATATAGGTGGGCGTTGAGATTTAGACCCAGAAGACAGACCACAGTGTTGGCATCTTCTTATTTCGTCTTTTTATTTTTTATTTTATTTTATTTTAAGGAACGGTCTGCAGGGTGTTATCTTGTCTTTTTGAGACAGGATCTCACTATGCAGCTCAGGCTGGCCTTGAGCTCAGTTTGTAGCCCAGGCTGCCAGCAACTCCCAATCCTCCTTCCTCAACCTCCCAAGTGCTGGGATTACAGGTGTGCGCCTCAATGCCTGGCACTAATTTTGTGTTTAGAAATAGCGGGGTGGGCATGGGGTTTGCCTCATGGCCCAGAGAAACTGCACAAAGTAAAGGAAGTCCTAAATATAAACTTCGAAAATATCTCTTGGGTGACAGATGATAGAGTTTTAAATACAGCCAACCCAATTTCAGAGGTGAAGGGGTGTGAGTGGGAGCCCAGTGCCTGCCCCTGAGCATGATGGTGGCAGCTGCAGCCGCGTCTGGGGCACGAGGTAAGCCGGAATGGGTGCCGTGTCGAGGCAGAGGGCCAGGGAAGGCCTCCTCCCTGTACTTCCTTAGTCCAGCAGTTCTGGAACTAGATCAGAAAGGTGTACGAGCACAGATGTTGGTGCCAGATCATTTGTGACAGTGACTCAGTGTCTGCTGGCAAAGGAGGTGGTTGCTCACTGTGGGCTCCCACGGAGAAGCATCTGTTAACAGAGTAAGACTAAACAAAGCATTTCTCAGGACTGGGTCTGTGTGGCTAAATTTATTTTCTTAGACTCCACTCCTCCTGGCGTTAATAATTTATTCTGCCAGAACCACTGCCCTAAGGCATGGTACTGGCTTCTCCTTCCCAGTCTTGATGCATGACTTCCCCCAAGGAATATTCACTCTTCACTCATGCAGGAAGGCTCAGTTGCCACAAATTATACAACCATCACCAGACCACTCTGCCAGGCTTCTCCATGTCCAGCTGTCCCTGGAGACACCTGCACCCTCCACAGTGCTGCTTCCCATGCCCAGCCTTTGATCTGGAGACTCCAGAGGGTGCTGGGGCTTGACTTGTCTCAGGGAATGTTGCCCCTGGGCTTTGGCTGAAGCCTATACTCCTGATCCCTCTCGAAACCTTCTGCCACCTCTAGGGATTGTAGAAGGTATGCTCTTCCCTCTGTGGAACTTTCCCCTGCCTAGTAGTGTCCCAGCTCCCAACAATCTGGAGAAGCTCTGGACAGTGACCTGGGACCAGGTACAGGAAGCTTCTATAACTCAATCAGTGTCTGTTTAACTGCATAAGCAATAAAGTCTTAATAAAGTGTTCTAGGGTGGAGTTCCTAAAACTGGTAACTATTGCCCTATGTCTTATGTTATACATCTCTCCTAAAACTAGTATTTATTCCCTTGGTCTCCTGAGTATCTTAATTCTGTAACGTTTATTTCAGCTATTGTCAGTATTGTTACTTATTTTGGAAACTCCATGGAGTTAAGACTTCTTTGTCACAGAGCTTTTGAAATTTTCCTGAAGTATAAAACTTGGGCTATAGAGAATAAAGTCTTGAAAACAGAAAAAAAAAAAAAAAAAATAATAATAATAATAATAATAATTTATTTTGCCAATGTTTGCTAAGTTCTTTCTACTTGCCAGGCATGGTGACACATAACTATAATTTTAGTACTCTGAGAAGCTGAGGCAGGAGAATTGCTGTGAGTTTGAGGCTGGCCTGGGCTACATAGGGAACTTAAAGCCAGCTTAAACTGCACAGAGAGACCCTGTCTCAAAAAAAAAAAAAAATTAAAAAAAAAAAAAAAAAAAAAAAAAAAAAGCTAGATAAGGCACACACCTGTCATCCCAGTACTCAGAAGGCTGAGGCAGGAGGATCTGTATGAGTTTGATGCCAGCCTGGGCTATGTGGCAAGACCCTATCTCCCAAAAAAGTAGTTGATCCCTTAGGTGGCTCATACTTGTAAACCAGTACCCAGAGGCAGCAAGATAGCAAGTTCAAGCCCCACCTGGGCAATCTTGTACCTAGAAGAATAGGTAAATGGGGAGATAGAAAGGAGGGCAGCCTTGGGGTGTGACTTAGTGTGGCAGCCTTGGGTTCTATCCCCAGTATTGCCTGGCCCCTCGGTGCCCAGTTGTCTGTACCCTGATAGGATGATGAGGAGTAAATAGTCCCAAGGGCCCACAGCCCAGGTCCCCTGTAGTGGTGCTAGGGGTTTAAATGTTTTACAAGCATCCTGATGTTTTCCCTCATACATAGGCCTTGGTGACCCGGTCCTCCCAGTGTGGAAGTGACAGCAGCATTGGATATAGTATGGGCTTTTAAGTGTCTTATAATTGTTTATAAATCTGGACCTTAAAACTGTTCACAGAGCAGCCCAGGCAGGTAACCACGTGGGGGCTGATGGCGGGCACCTTCCCACTCCTTGCTTTCTTCAAGGGCTCACCTGTGCCTGGCCCTGTCACTTTGGGCCTGGAGTAACCAGAAGCAAAGAGCAGGACAAGGAGGAGCCACGGTCCCCATGTTCGTCTCCCCCACAGGCCCAGCTTTCATGACCTGACTCTTCTACTGAAGTTTTACACTTCCCGAAAGTTTCTCTCTGAGCCACTGCGCTGCTTGCGTGAACCACGCAGCTCTGGTCGAGACTCAGTGGCTTAGGGGTATGCTGGGCTACTGCCCCTGCGCGGCCCGGAGCCTCACCATGCCGCCTCCTCTCCTAGCACACACTCACGGGCCACAGCGGGAAAGTGCTATCTGCTAAGTTCCTGCTGGACAACGCACGGATTGTCTCGGGAAGTCACGACCGGACCCTCAAGCTCTGGGATCTGCGCAGCAAAGTCTGTGAGGAAATTCAGTCTCTCTGTCTGTGTGTTTGTGTAGACCTTAGTAGGGGAGGTGGCATTTCTGTTTCACATTGTTGCTTGCACTCGAGGTTCAGGTGGCACTGAGCAGCAACATTTGCTCTTGTGGGCGTTTCTTTAAGGCGGTGGCTCTGACAGTTCAGTGGTTGAATGTAGCGGTGTGTGTGGCCACATGGGCAGCTCTGCTGGATTAATGATGTTTCGTTTTCTTTCAGGCATAAAGACGGTGTTTGCAGGATCCAGTTGTAATGACATTGTGTGCACAGAGCAGTGTGTGATGAGTGGGCACTTTGACAAGAAAATTCGTTTCTGGGACATCCGGTATGGCACCCAGGAGCTTGGTGGGAAGTAGACAGGAGTCTGCAGAGCTGTTGGGAAGTTTTGTATGGGGGGTGGGGGTTAAGGTCTCAGGGATAGTAAAAATGAACTCGAGGATACCTGGAGCTTAACAGTGACTCCATGCAGAGGGGCACCTGAGTTGGGCGGTCGTTTGTTCCCCATGTGCTGTGGACCAGCCCTTTTGCCAGGCAGGTGGGCAGAGATACTCATCCTGCCTCCAGGCAACCTAAGATGGCACAGGGGGCAGCACACACTCAGGAGCAAAATGCCCGTGCCGGGGCTGTTGGTGCTCTGTGGAGGAGTAAGTGGGCTTTGCGCTGCAGGAAAGGCAAAGCCGTTCACACACAGCAGGCTAGCACAGCCGACATGTGCCCTATGGGCACACAGAGGGGCCCAGGCCAGCCAGGCTGGTAGGGTGAGTTTTATAAAAGCCATTTCCAGGACTTAAGCCTGTTGGTTTTGGAGAAGGGACGTGATTACTTCACAAAGAGCTCTGGGGGTTTGCACTTGCAGGTGGGACCGGAGTCGGGCCTAGTGATGCATGTCTGTGCCCCAGCACTCAGGAGACTGAGGCTGGAGGATCACTGCAAGTTCAAGGCCAGCCTGACCCTCACAGCAAGACCCTGTCTCAAAAAAAGGCCTGATGGGATTTAGGAGCTGGGTCGGTATGGGCCAGAATTTGGGGCCCAGAGCAGTCAGGAAGGGGATCTGGCAGAGGAAGATGGCAGCTGGGGCTGGTTAGGTGTAGAGTGAGGAGGGAGAGCAGGAAGCGGGAGGGAGCATGGGGAAGTGGGAAGGGCGCGAGGCCAGGTGGTCAGTCAGGAGGGTGGCAAGGGTGCCTGGGGCCCAGGGGATTGGGAAGCATGGCAATGAAGGCTCAGCAGATGCTTCGGAAGGCAGCGTGGACGCTGGAAAGGCAGGCCACTAGGACACCTGGGTTCCTCGACTCCCCTTCCTTTGTGGCTTTTTAAAACCCATAGTTTGACCTCATTTAAACATGGAATTTTAGGGTCAAACAATGAGAAGTCCCTATCCCACCCAGGTATTTGGGTGTTGAAGACCCCAAATCTCAAGGCAGTGCAGTAAGCCTACCTTAAGCCACGTATTGAGGGACAGTAGAGCTAACTCCTGCTGAGTGGAGGTCGGGAAGTCTTCATTGAAAGCTCCTGACTAAGTCACCGTTTGGCGAGTCAGTGCCTCTTTTGGCTGCACCAGGCACCAGGAAGCTATCAGCTGACCTGGCTGGCCACAGCACGGGAGAGAATTAGGAAAGTAGAGGTGGGGTCACAGGGTGGTGGCCCTGCCCCGGGCTCCTGGCTCCATGCCTAGAGCAGCCGCAGCACCAAAAATACCGGAAGCCTGACTGGGCCTGGGCTGCAGTCCTGGTTAGTACTTGCTAGTAAGTCCTGGTTTGGGTCACTGTGTTGTTCCAGAAATGGCCCAGAAACCCTTAATAGATCAGAGCTGAGCTCTATCGGCCTGCTTCTCCATAGGTCAGAGAGTGTGGTCCGGGAGGTGGAGCTGCAAGGCAAGATCACCGCCCTGGACTTGAACCCTGAGAGGACCGAGCTGCTGAGCTGCTCCCGCGATGACCTACTGAAGGTCATTGACCTGCGCACAAATGCTGTGAAGCAGACCTTCAGGTAGCAAGGCTGGGCGCTGGGCGGGCCAGGCTGCCTGTGTCCTGCCTGGCACCTGCTGACTGCAGCTGTCTGTTCCAGTGCCCCCGGGTTCAAGTGCGGCTCAGACTGGACCAGAGTGGTCTTCAGGTTGGTAGCAACGTCCATGTCCACTGAAGCCTAGGTGACTGGTCCATGATGAGACGTGGAGTGGGACATGGCCAGTGTGGCCCAGAGACCTGGAGTAGGTGGGGAGGTCATGCTGGGTCATGTCCACACCGAGGCTCCTGGGAGGCACCAGATGCTCCCCTGCACACCATTTGCACCGGGTGACCAAGGAGCTTCCAGGAGAGGGTGGACTGCCAGGCTCTAGGGACAGCATCCTGAGCTGCGGGCCACAGGGTCCAAGCGCTCGTCTTCCCACTTCCTCCAGCCCCGACGGCAGTTACGTGGCAGCAGGCTCGGCTGAGGGCTCACTCTACGTCTGGAGCGTGCTCACGGGGAAAGTGGAGAAGACACTCTCCAAGCACCACAGGTGAGGCAGGCACCATCAACTCCTGCCCTCACCAGGTTTCGACCTCACTGGGCCCTGTTGGGGGCAGAGGGGGACACCAGCTCAGGCCATGTAGCAGATGGCAGGCAGTAGGGGCTTGGGCATGGCATAGTGGCAATGGGGAGATGCCTTCCCTGTGTGCCTCCTCCAACCACTTCCTCTGTGCCTCCCTGGGATCAGAATCATCCCATGTGTAAATACTCTGCTGAGTGCTTGCATTCATGTACCCCTCAGTTCACCGTCCACCTAACGGGAGCCCCGTGCCTGCCTGCCAATCACACAGACTGGAGGCCCAGAGCTTCCTCCAGTGCCCTCTGCCCTGAGCGAGCCCCACTGTGGTACGGGTGCCACCACCAGGCCTCCCAAACACAAGTCTGCTATGTGGCTACCAGGTCTCAGCCCAGCCACCAACCCAATGCTCTTCTGATCTGTCCTCAAAGCTCCTCCATCAATGCGGTGGCATGGGCCCCCTCCGGCTTGCATGTGGTCAGCGTGGACAAAGGCAGCAAAGCTGTGCTTTGGGCACAGCCATGAGTCAGGAGAAGCAGGGGACCCCAGCAGTCCTGCCTCAGCGGTGATGTGTCCTCCCGGAGACGAGCTCACATGTACGGTGTGGCCTTCCTGAGGCACTTGTAAGGATATGGGTGGACAGCCCGCAGGAGCCCACACCGAAGCGGTCTGAGTGGGAAACACTACGACTCTGGTCTTCCATACCTCACAGGGGAGCAGGGGCTCCCTCATGGGCGGTGGTGCCAGGCACAGCTGTGCATCAGTCCATGCCCCACCTTTCCAAAGTCAGTTCTGGCTGGACTCGGGGCGACACTCACAGGCCCCCGGGCTGGCTGCCGGCCTCTGATCATGTCTCATTACTGCTGAACTGTTCACAGGTCACCAAGCCACCCTTCAGGGCCTGGGGCTCCCTTTCCTTGCACCACCACAAGTCCATGTCCCAGTCAGGAAATAAGCCCATTGGCTTAGGCTGGGAGATAGAGGACACGAACCAGCCTTTTCCAGTGAGGTGGTTCCTGCGACCCTGCAGATGCCTGGCCAGTAGGTGCACCCACCTCACACTGGTGACAGGGAGCCTGGGGCCGCGAATGTACTGCCCTGGGGCTGTTACCTGCCTGCCACGTCCCGTGTCTGCGCAGGAAGCCCTGTGCAGAACCAGCCTGGGATCCCTTCCCCTCCTGAGGATGTGGAAGGCCAGGAGCAAGTCCCTTCCCTGACCCTGAGTATAGGATCTCCGCTCTGGACTGGGGGGATCTGATACACCGTGTTCTACCACGTTGTCATTTGCACTTTATTTTTTCTTCCGTGCCTGCTCTCTGGACAGTTAGTGCGAATGCAAGATCTCGGGAAGGGGAGTGTACTCCCCACTTCCTGGCCCTAGGCCGTGCTCCTTGTGTCCAGAGAACTTGGGTTGGGAGAAGCTGAAGTTCACAGGCTGGGGCACATCTTTTATTTATTTATGTTGCCAAACAACTTGATTATAAAGTTTTTAAAATTCTGTTGTATACTTTTCAAATTCCTTGCGTCTGGTAATTTTTTTCATCATTCTTGAGGAATCTGGTCAGTCTGTGTCCTTATAAGTTATGGTCACCACTTTCTTGGTGTTTTCTGATTGTTCCTTGTGTCGCCTGCACTCCTATTTCGTGTCATGTGCACATCTGGCATGAGAGCCCAGGCTCCAGGCCTTTTCCTGGGAGCAGTGTACTCTGGCTTTCCCACGTGTCATAAGGCACATCCAGCGTCCTTCACAGCAGGCAGCAGAGAATACTGTGTGGGCCCTGGGAAAGGCCGGGGTGCTGCTGCCAGCATCTTCCCAGCCCTCAGCACAGCTGTTTGCTTATTGGACACTCGGGAAGCGTGACCTGCCTTCCACTCTTGGCCTGGGGAGGGGACACCAAGAGACAACCAGCTCCTGCCAGAGCACCTGCCGGACAAGGAAGCCACAGTACCTTGGGCAGTAATGAGCTGAGCCTGCTTTTCTCAAGTCGGCCGCAATGACCCAAATTACATCCCACTTCCGAAAGGGGAAAGTTCACAGTGGGGCCCAGGCCCTCCCTGAGTCCTGAACCACAGTCCTCAGCACTGCCGCCCCAGCTGGAAAGACAAGCCGGCAGGTGCGTGGTAACTGCAAGGGTTAAGCAAGTGCCCCAGGCAGAGGTGCTTGCCCCCACAGCCCAGCCCAGAAGCTGCTGACTCTAGCCGGGTGAGCCAAGTTTGATCTCTGGCCCCAAACCTGGCTTTCAGTGCAATCTGCCTACTTTCTGTCTGCTTCTAACCCATGCTGGGCCAGATGCTGCTCACAGTCTTGGTCTTGCGCAGACCATGGGCCACACTGACCTCATAATCCCAGGTGGACCAGTGGGCACAGTGAGAAGCCCAGATGAGGCCACGTGATCAGTTGTGTCCACACACTGCAAACTGATAGGGCTCTAGCCGTAAATCAACACCTTACTACAAAATCCACGCGCAAATCCACTTTCAGGTGTTGCTGATGTAATAATAAAGTGTTTTGGCTTTTTGTTGAGACGGTCTCCCTATATGGTGCAGGCTGGCCTTGAGCCCACAGTGATCCTCCTGCTTCAGCCTCCTGAACAGTTATCATTCCCAGTGATTTTTTTATGATTGGTTGAGCTTGGATCCAGTTAGCTTTTGCTATGGATCAAACTACTTAAAAAAGCAAAGGCTTAAAACTTCTAGGTCACTGGCCAAGCACCTGGAGGGTAACTGAATCTTCTTACTTGTAAGTCAGAGAGGTCATGGGGTGCCCATGGAGGGGCTCCAGGAAGGCAGGGCTGCTAAGCCGGTCTCCCAGTCACAGTGGACTCAGGTTCCAGGGACCAGTGAGGCATACAGGTAGCCCCAGGCTGCAGCTCTAGGCCCATGTTCCATTGAGGGGTCCACTGTGACTGGGAGACCGGCTTAGCCCTGCCTTCCTGGAGCCCCATCAGTGCTGTCCATGTCAATCCCCCAGCACCACATGCCAGCCAGCCCCGCCCCCTGGTGGGCTGAACTGGCCACACACACAAAATAAATAAAATTAATTAAAAAAAAAAAAAAAAAAAGTCTAGCCAGGTGTGGTGGCACATGCCTGCAATCCCTGCACTGGGGAGGCTGAGGCACAAAGAGTTCTGTGAATTTTTTTTTTAATCTGCTTTTATTTATTTGTGTGTATGTGTATGTGTGTGTGTGGCCAGCTCAGCCCACCAGGGGATGGGGCTGGCTGGCATATGGTGCTGGGGGATTGAACCGCGGTCCCTGTGCTTTGCTAAGTTTGTTCTAAGTAGGTGCTTTAGACCACTGAGCCATCTCACCAGCCCCAGTTCTGTGAGTTTGAGACCAGCCTGGGCTACATCATAGTGAGTTCAAGGCTGGTCTGAACTACACAACAGGACCCTACCTAAAAAAAGAAAACCTCTAGGGAAAGGCCAACTTAACTATTTTCTCAACTATGTACTTTCATTGTTTTATAAAAAGAAAGATCAAGGGGCTGGGGAAATGGCTCGGTAGAATAAGCGCTTGCCTGGCAAGCACAAGGGTCTGAGTTCAATCCCTGGTTCCGAAAAAAATAAAATAAAAAGAAAGATCAGGGGCTGGGGAGCTGGTTCAGCAGTCTAAGCACCTGCCTGACAAGTGCAAGGACCGAGGTTTGATTGCCAGTAGTACATGGCTTGCCGGCCCCAGAACCCCAAGCACATCATGGTAACCCCCAAAACTGGGCATGGTGGTGCATGCCTGTAATCCCAGTGCTGGGAAGGCTAACAGCAAGACCCTGTACCAAACAAATTTTTATTTTTGCAGTACTGGGGATTGAACTCAGGACCTCACACTTGCCAGACAGGCACTTTTTCTACTGAGCTATCTCCCCAGCCCCAAAATTAGCTTTTTTTTTTTATTACTGGGGATTGAACTCAGGACCCTGTACTTGCCAGACAGGTGCTTATTCTACTGAGCTATCTCCCTGGCCCCTTAAATTTTTAAGAGGTCACTTTTGTCATTTTTAGGAGCTGCATTGTGACATATGTATGGGTAAAACATGTTTTTTTGTTTGTTTTTTGGTCTTTTTGAGACAGGGTCTAACTATGCTGCTCAGGCTGGCCTTGAGCTCACTTTGCAGCCCAACGCTGGTCTCAAACTCCAATCCTCCTGCCTCAGCCTCCTGAGTGCTGGGATTACAGGTGTACATCACCATGCCCAGCCCCTGCTTTCAAGTGAATCGAAAGGAAAAACCATCCAACAGTATTTGACACAGATGAACAGAGGCATGAGAATGTTACTGTGGAAACTTGGGGCTGGTTGGGTGTTTGTTGTATTTTCTTCCAACTTTTTCTGTGCTCTCAAATTTTGCAATAAAATTCTAGAATGCAGAACTAATGATGAGGCAGAACTACGCTTGCCAGGAGCTGCAGGCATGGTGGGGAGGTTGGCAGGCATGGTGCCAGGAGCCATTAAGGCGCAAGGGCTGTTCCCTCCGGACTGCAGTGGGCAGTGCAGCCGGGTGCCACTGCCGGGTCCTGAGGCTGCACACTGAGGGGGTGAGCTGTGGGATGTAGTCCATCTTGGGAAAGATGGGGGAAGAACGTCTTCATGCCAGAAAAATCAAAACCCTCATAATCTTAGAATAAGAGGCAATCATTTATATTGGACACATTTGGTTTTCAGAAAAAATTTAGGGCTACCCTTATTTTTTTCATTTCTCCCCCAAGAAGAGAAAAATTGATCACAGACCAGGAGGTGGGAAGGACATTCCCAAGAGTGAGAGAAGAATACTTACCTAGTATGCGTGAGGCCGTGGGTTTGATTCGCAGCACTTCCTAAATAAATAGGCTCGGGGGCCTGGCCCTAGCTCAGGCCTTTAAGTGGCTGCTTCCACAAAGCTGTCAGCCTCAGGTAGCTGGAGTTCAAACCTCACACCTCTCCAGCTCTCCAAAAGTGCCCTGAAGGCATTCGAGGAACAACAAAAAAAAAAAGCCTAAATAAATAGGCTCACTCAAAAATAAGTTCATTTGGGGGCCTGGCCCTAGCTCAGTTGTTTAAGTCGCTGCTTCCACAATCTGTCAGTCTCGGGTTGCTGTAGTTCGATCCCCACAACACTCCAGCCAGCCAAAAGTGCCCTGAAGGCATTCCAGGAGCGGGCTGGTGAGATGGCTTAGTGGTCTTAAAGCACCTACTTAGAACAAGCTCAGCAAAGCACAGGTACCGCGGTTCAATCCCCCAGCACCACATGCCAGTCAGCCCCGCCCCCTGGTGGGCTGAGCTGGCCACACACACACAAATAAATAAAAATTAAAAAAAAAAATAAGTTCATTCACAAGGTCCTGTCAAGTTGTAACGCAATTTGTGTCCTCCCGACTGCGCCCTCTAGCGGTGTGAATGCTACATAGAGAAGACTCCAGGGGAACCCTGGGACGGACAGCTCCCAGCCTGCAGCCGTGGGTCTGGCTGTCTGTATGCTAGAGAGTGAAGAAGAGCCCTAGTCATTGCTCTTCCTGGCATTATTGCTCTTCATTTATTTATTTAAGTGTCTTTGGTTGTTACAGGGTCTCACTACACAGCTCGGACTCCTAGTGATCCTCCTGTTTTCAGCCTCCCCAGCACTGGAATTACAGATGTGCACCACTATGCCTGGACTCTGTGGCCGGCTCAGTGCAC